ATTCGATAGAGATGAAACAGTGGTAAAGTTTCTCTTTTTTTATCTAGTAAACTAAACTGAAAATTTAATACTAAACACTTTTTGCTCCAAGAAATAGTACATTACGTATCAAGGGAAGAAATAGGGGTTTTTCAGACTGCAAAAATGCAGTATGAGATAACCCTGTTTCTTCCCGAGGTACGTATACTATTTTTTGTCATGTTTGTGCGGAAAGCTCGTCATTAAATTGATAGTTGGTGAAATAAGAGTAAATGATTTAGAGGTTAGAAAGACATTGTCATTGAACAACTGATTTCTACGCATGCTCACAAACTTCAGCGCATGCGCTCAGAAGACTAATCTCATTGCCTCCCGACTAAAACACGGCTGAAAAGAGGCCATTTTTTTCCTATTTCATAGCACGCAAAACGAGCTTTCCGCGCTAGCATGACAAAATAGTACATTACGTATCAAGGGAAAAAATAGGGTTTTTTCAGACTGCAAACATGCAGTATGAGATAACCCTGTTTCTTCCCGAGGTACGTATACTATTTTTTGTCATGTTTGTGTGGAAAGCTCGTCATTAAATTGATAGTTGGTGAAATAAGAGTAAATGATTTAGAGGTTAGAAAGATATTGTCATTGAACAACTGATTTCTGCGCATGCCCATAAAATTCAGCGCATGCGCTCAAAAGACTAATTTCATTGCCTCCCGACTAAAACACGGCTGAAAAGAGGCCATTTCTTCCCTATTTCATACCACGCAAAACGAGCTTTCCGCGCTAACATAATAAAAAGAATATATTAAAGTTGATTCAAATAGTTTAAATCATAAATCCACCGTAAGTGATAATTTTTCATTTTGCCTTGCGTATTTGGCCTTGGTCTTACATATTCGGTCTTGGTTTAAGACTTAGTCTTGTTCGTTTAATCTTTGGTTTAGTTTTCGTCTTGTTCGTTCGGTCTTGGTCTTGATCTAGCAAGAATGTAAGACCAAGTCCAATTTTGCTCATACTAATTTACAACCCCAGACTAGGTTGACTTGTGCAATTAATCAACTTGCCTTCAGGGTCATGGACTTCATAATTGTCATGCAGTACAGGCAAACGAACGTAATTATTAACCGGACGGCTCAATGGATTATAAATTGTTACCACGAAACTATTTTCGTTTTCGCTAACAGTGCATTCGCTGATATTAAACTGGCATTGTTGGTATTCCACAGCAGTTGAAGAGTTATTGGTATCGTTGTTTGCTAATTTGCTTGAAATTGAATTAAGAAGATCAGTTAAAGAATTAATCAGGGGCGGTTCCAGGATTTTATAAAGGAGGGGGCTTAAAAAAATTGTGCTTTTTTTTCTCGAATCGAGATAATCGTCTAAAGATGTTTGATCGATATTTTTTATATGCTGGTCTTAAACACGACGTTTCACTATAATAATTGACCAATTCTCTAGCGAAAGAACTGCACGTAAATGTGGACCCTGCACCTCTGGATCCGCCCCTGGAATTGATAAAATAAATAATAATTGCTAATTTATTACTTCAGAGCTGTTTTGGTGGCAGTAGAACATTGATTAAATCCTCTATTCAACAAACGTGCATAATCAGCGGCAACATGTTGCTTTTCGGTACCAGTAATGGCATCGTGGTGCTGCAATACGCCCATTGCTTCTCTCAGTGAGTTTAAATTGTCTTCCTCTTCTGAACCTAATCCGGCTAAGGCATATAATTGCTTGCAAACCTATCGAAGTTTTGAAATTTATATTAACAAAGAGTGATTATGATAAAGTTACACAAAACAAAACTAATATTTGACTAATCTTAAGTGCGACCTTTGAGGTCGATACGATCAACGTCAATAAACAAGAAGAAATATACCGAATTAATTCGGTGACCACTTTGTGATAAATCGTCTTTTAGATAAAATAAAGACAACACACTTTGTTTATCACTTTATGTATAATGAACAAACTAAGGATGTGTTGTTTTTATTTTATCCGAAATAATAGCATGTTTAAAAGTGTGAATAAACTTCAGAACAAACTGGGGTTCGAATTTATTAAGACGTTTTATAAAAATATCTGTAAGGTTTTGAATACATTAAAGTGAATTAATTTTTGAATTAATTTTTACCACTATAGATAACTACCAGTTTTCCTTATTAATTTAAGGTTATCTGTATAACTTAATTCAAAGAATAATTCACTTTAATGAATTTATTAAATTTTCCTTTGGGTCGTATCGACATTGAGAAAAATCTGATAAAAGATTACAACAATTTCCCTATATAGTGGGAAGTGAATTTGTTTGACACTTACTTTTAAAAGCAATCATAAATTATTAGTTTTTTTTTCATAATCATAATCGGCGAAATTCCAACCTTTTTATCTGATTATTCTATATGTTTAAATGCCTACGATTCAACTTTGAAAATCACACCGTAGACACAAATAAAAATTGATTTATCTAGTGATAATTTTTCAAAAAAGTCTGTTCTTGCTTTTACTCTCAACAGCAAACAATAGGTCATGAATTCGAAATATAGGGTTGTTCGGAAAGTATATTCTTAAATTTTAACGAGGCAGTTTAAATAATTTTGCAAATGGTACTGTACACTTTTGTCCAGCTCTAGCTCTCGCTCGATGATCGGAATAAGCTACGCAGACAAATATGATTGAATTTGGAATTATGCTACGGCGCATCCTAATAAAGGGAAGGGGCATATCTCCAACTTCTTGAAACGAACAGTACGTGCCGTAAGCCAGAGCCGGGCAAACTCGGCTCTTTTGACTCCCGAGAGCTCCTCAGGTATAGCCAAGGAGCTCCTCATTGATCTTGCGAGTGCGAGTGAGATGATTCTTTCCTTTTCTTATCCCTTCCATTTCGTAGGTGAGTCCCCTCTTCCATAGCCAAACCCAATAGTATTGCGAACGTAATAACGAAAGTATTATTTAAGTTGCGAGAAAGGCTTCGCTCGTCTACGGGGGAAGGGGCTTGATATGGGAGTGGAAGGGAGAAGAAAAAGAGAAAGCAATATGGGTCATTACTGCTTACTGTCTCGTACTCATTGAAGGGTATGGAGTGACTCAAACTAACCTCAGGTAGCGCCTCCTACGAAGTTAAAGTTTGCCCGGCTCTGCCGTAAGCCGTTGAATAAAATTAATTCACACATTCCTTAACAGTGTTACCATGTATTACCTGTAGGAAATTATTTCCTTCTCTTTCAAATCGCTTTATTGTGGGACGAGAGGTGAAGTAGCCAGTCCAATAAGAATGGTCATCGGACGCATAAGGGAAAAAGTCATCTGTTTTAACAGGCCACGTCAGTTTCTTTTTACTCGACTCGTCGTGTACTGCATTCAAATAACAGGATGGAGTCGAATAGAGCAGATTATATTTTGAGCTATCATTTTGCCTTTGATTAGCGTACCTATATTAAATTGTTGTTAATTTATATTTATTTATAGCTATGCAAATGTAAAGTGTACCTGTAATAAAGTTAATTTTTATTAAAACTTACTTTATTAATTTGTCTAGGTTCTTAAACCAAACGTCGGCATCCTGATAGTTAAAATCGTTACCCATTGTTATCAATAAATTATTAGTACGATAGTTGGTTTTCATTGTTTCTACATATTGCAGAAAACTGTTGACCTATACAAAAACATACAAATAGCATATTACCATATTTGAAAATACCACAAATGGCGCGGTTAACGTCATCTATAGTACCTACGATGCTACATTTTAGGATTACGTATGCTCCAACAAAGTCCACTTGTGTGGTTATCTACTTGCTGAAACGAATCCCGTCGTACCTAACCTCAACGTGATAGGCACGTTACCATAATCGAATAAAATAATTCGAAGTGGTCTGTATTCTGTGGAAACTGCCAGACGCGGATCGCGATTTAGATCTCTTTGGGTGTCATCAGCGCGTTGCAGACAGCTCCGACAGAACACAGACCAACTTTTACCAGCTGTCTTAACAGCGCGTTTTAGAAAATACCACAAATGGCGCAGTAAACGCCATCTGTAGTACGATGTTACATTTTAGAATTACGTATGCTCCAACAAGGTCCATTTAAATATATGAATATCTACTTGCTGAAACGAATTCTGGCGTAGCTAACCTCAACGTGATAGCTACGTTACCATATTTAATTGGCATTTAATCTAGTTGAAACATAGTCACCTACTTAAATTAATTTTAACAAAATACAATTGAGCAGTTTCACAAATTATTTGTTTTAAAAATTAAATACGCGTATTTTGTGTTATGGGGAACTTTCAGGAGTAAACAAAAAATTTACTGTGTTTTATGTCGTTGATGTTGGTGAGCAAGTGATAGATGAGGACGCAAAGCTCTCTTAAGTATCCCTTTGGGATCGTGGGAATAAGTGGTTTATGGTGCCTAGAGAGAGAAAGATTAGACGAACCCGATGAAGACGTATTTTGGCATTCCTTATTCCTCACTTGCAAACGATCAATCGAGAACTAATCAAACTATATTTTGTCATTCGTCAACGGCGTCAGACAGTGGGAAAATTTTTGACTGAACCCTTTTAGCATACAAAACTGTCTACGATAATAATAAAAATGATACTAATTGGCAGATAATTTGATTTGTTTTTTATATGGTTATGTAACGGTGTAAGTAGTAGTTGCTTCGATTAAAAATTTTTGTTTGGACATTACGACCTCTCTACGTTCCTGGATGATATCACTCACAGCTGTTGGCGAAACGTCAGAAAAACGCCTTTGATAGTATTCTCACGGGCGGAAGGGGATCAATCTTAGAGCTGGGCCATTGTGCTCGAATATCAAACATTAACACAATCTTTCCACCCTACCATCTGACCAATGATGGGGTTTAACTTGATGGTGTGTGGAAATAAGGAATGTCAAAAGATAGTGAAGAAAAAAAAAATACTTTTTGTGGATTACTACTGCGCCAATATTCACCTATACGATCCAAGGAAGGCACAGAAAAACTTGCACGCAACTAGGCAGAACCGGATCGAGTTGGCTGCAATATCTTCATGAATGACAAACTCTGATCTAACTACTAAAACACGTCACACAGTTTTAGTTATACTTATTGGTTAATCTAGAACAGATATTGAGACCTATTATCTACCGTAAAACTTGGGTAGGTAATAAACATTGTAACGAGAGGTACCGGACCGCTGCTCTGAATCATGTTTTCCTTTGTTGATTTAGGCAAAGATTGGAGCAGTCATAATATTTCACAGAAATTTTTTCACTTCAGTCTTCATTTCGTTCATCATATCTGTCTCTCCCTAACTACCACTCACCTATTTACACGATATCCTAATAAATTCCACTCCTACTCTCTGTTTTACACTACAGTGTAGGTCTGAGTGATTACTCGCGGACCAGGATTATCGTTCGGTGGGAATGAATCGCGTTTAAGTTTTTCTTAATTAAACATTGTACAAATCTTGTCATCCGTTGCATTAATAATCAACAAAATATAAAAACAGGAAGTATAAGAATTGTAATAAAGTAAGGGGCAGATTGATTTGGACAGATTTGAAATATTCGATAGAGAGAAAAGCTGGTCATGAAAATCAGTTATTAACTATCAAGAATATTTTGGTAGCAATTGTTTTTTCATTCTTACTCGGGACGAAATAGTACCTATTTAAGTGAATATGTAAATATTTGTTTGTTTGTTTGTAAACAAATAATTTGTAAAATTATTTAAGTGTATGTTATTATTTAGAAATTAATTTCATGATCTACCTTTCTTTCGACGTTATAATCTGGACTCTCCGGATTATCTATTATAGGATCATCATTGCATAATATGTCGAAGCAAAATCCTGGAGGAGGTGAATAGTGATTATACAATACGCTAGTAAATATGTCACTGTTATTTTCTAAAAAAATATTTAAGTTTGTGTTGTTAAATTTAAAAAGAAAATGCAGATTTTTTTACCTAGACTTCCACTACTTTTCCAAATCATTTCTAGAGATGACGAGCTCCGTCTCTTATCTTGATCTTGATAATCGATTCTATTAAGAAATACTCCATCAAATCCTAATTGAGAGAAGATGAAAGCCATCTCTCTACTATGACCAAATGGATCGATTTGCCAGCCAACCTTTGGACGGGCGCATTTTCCAAATGTTTCATTCAATTTTCTAAAACGTGTTTTAATTTTGTAACGAACGCTTTGAAAACTATTATTTTACCTCATTCCCCAAGTAAATTGATCGATTATCGATTGATAATGCGTAACAGCCTCGTCATTCATACTCCATCCTCCACTAATTATTTCCAATTGACCATTTTCAATTAATTGTTTGAATTGTGCTCTCATTTTATCATTCTGATCCAGCCACCATTTCCACAGAAAAGCGGTCTCTACGTAGATAAATCTGAAGCATATATTTATAATTTATTTATTATTATAACTAGGTACCCGGCAAAACCACTACGGTTGATGGTTCATATCTTCGTTCCCACATCCTTAATTATCGGGTTGTTCGGAAAGTCATTTCGTTTTTTCCCGACAGAGGATTTAATTGTATTCTTTTGCACCCAACTTCACATTTAAGCCGTATAATTTTTATATGCTTTGAGAGCTCATATAGCAAGGCTTGTGTGTGAAAAATTCCAATTAATTCTACGCAGTAGTTTTTGGTTGGTGCCCTTTTAAATATGGAGAGCGATAAGCAGCATTTTCGACATATCTTACTGTTTTACTACAGAAAGGGTAAAAATGCTGTTCAAGCCAGAAAGAAATTGACTGATGTGTATGGAGAAGGTGTGTTGACAGTACGCCAGTGCCAGAACTGGTTCGCTAAATTTCGATCCGGCAATTTTGATGTCGAAGATGCACCACGTTCGGGAAGGCCGGTTGAAGCTGATAAAGACGCGATAAAGGCATTAGTTGATGTGAACCGGCGAATAACAACACGTGAGATCGGATTGAGGTTAAATTTATCAAATTCAACAGTTTATGACCACTTGAAAGGCCTGGGATTATCCTCGAAGCTCGATGTATGGGTTCCCCATGTTCTCACAGAGAGAAATCTGTGTCGCCGCATTGACGTCTGCGATTCGCTTCTCAAACGTCACGAAAATGATCCGTTTTTGAAGCGCATCATCACTGGGGACGAAAAATGGGTTGTATACAACAACGTCAAACGCAAGAGGTCATGGAGCAAAAAAGATGAACCGGCTCAAACCATTTCCAAAGCCGATATTCACCAAAAAAAGGTGATGCTGTCTGTTTGGTGGGATTTTAAAGGAATCGTTTTTTTTGAGCTTTTACCGGATAACACAACGATTAATTCGGAAGTCTACTGTCATCAGCTGGACAAACTGAATGATGCACTTCAACAGAAAAGGTCAGAACTAATCAACAGGAAAGGTGTAGTGTTTCACCAAGACAACGCGAGACCTCACACAAGTTTGGTCACTCGCCAAAAGCTTTTACAGCTTGAATGGGATACAATGCTACACCCACCATATTCTCCAGACCTGGCACCATCGGATTATTATTTGTTCCGGTCACTCCAAAATTTTTTAGACGGTAAAACCTTCACCTCAAATGAGGAGGTCAAAAACCTCCTCGATCAGTTTTTTGCCAGCAAAGACCAAAAATTTTATGAGCGTGGAATTATGCTACTACCAGAAAGATGGCAAAAGGTGTTGGACCAGAACGGTCAATATATAATTTAATAAAGTATTTGTTTATTATACGAAAACTGTCTTTCATTTCCACAAAAAAAACACGAAATGAGTTTCCGAACAACCCTAATATATTTGCGAACAGTAATCTTATGTAGGTTTACCTCTACCCCTCTTAATTTCCGATTCTGCCTCTAATATGTCTCTGACTATACCTTAATGCCTGAGAAGGTGTCTTACCAATCTATCTCGCCTATTTCCTACCGACCTCCATAGAGTCCTCTGTTCTCATATTCTTTCTAATACCTCTTTATTTCTAACCTTCCCTATCCACGGTATCCCCATCATTCGCCTATAACACCACATTTCGAACGCTTCTAACCTTTTCTACCCACGTTATCCTCATCATTCGCCTATAACACCACATTTCGAACGCTTCTAACCTTTTCATTTCCGCCGCGCCCACTGTCCATGTTTCGCACGCGTACAGCGCCATGCTCCAAACATGTACCATTGACAACCTTTTTCGAATTTCTAAATTAATCGTTCGCGAGCATAGAAGTGACTTCTTTTTATTGAATGCGACTCTACTTTGCGCAATCCTCTGCTTTATATCCCTACTAACCCTTCCGCCCTGACTTATCTGACTTCCTAGATACTTAAAATCAGCCACGTATCTTTATATTCATGTATAATATTAAATAAAGTTTATAGATTATTTATTAAAGCTTGTGATATTTTAACAAGTACGAGAATGTAAGATATGCAGTCAAGTTTGATACAAATGATGTTTAGGGTTTTGAGCTTTGCCGATAAGAAAATTGAGATTTGAGCGGATGCCAAGTTCTCTGATATTGAATTGATGACTTTTCAAGTATTTCATTTTTTGAGATAAACATAATTTATTGATTATATTATTAATACTTGCAAAACTATAATTTCAATTTCAAAGAAAATATGGCACTCGTTCGAATCTCAACCCTTATCGGCCAAATCAACAATCCCAAAAATCGTTTCTACCTAACTCGACCCCATTAATCACATATACTTTTTGTTGAAATGCCACATTGCATTTGTACCTAAACATATTCCTGGTTTCATTGACAGTTTAAAACGGAGTGTCAGCTTTTGAAATTTTTAGAAAAAAAGTCACAAAAAAGTCTTTCGCGACACTACCCAAATTTCGAACGAGGCATAACCAAACCGTATTGTTATATAGGGATTTCGGAATCCATTTATGAAAACAGTGTGATGTGAGAGAACTCAACTTGACTGGATTACTATGGAAACTAAGCCTCTAAGATTTGCTGACTCAAAAACTATCGCAATTCTGATAAGCGATTTGTATAATCTAAGGACATATAATATTGTATGTTGCCTTTTACCTTCGTGAAGAGTCTCTTAGAAGGGAGTCAACCACAGAATCAATAATATATTGAACTCCTGCTTTTTGATTGTCACTATTACCTAAAATGAAATATTATCTCATTATCAATTACAGGTGACAGTGAGGGTGGAGGGGTGAATCAGAGTCAGGGCTGCATATAGAAATCGCTCCAAAATGATTTCGTCATGTTGGATTAGGTTAGATAAAATAACGGTCAATTCATATACACCATTACCATATCTATCTTTCAGCTCTACCCCCTCCGCCTCCACATTTGACCACCAATAAATTCCTTTATCAATTCTAACAATCCCAACCTCCTACAAGACTGAGGTGATATTTCACCAATTTAGTTAAATTTTACCTCCCGCCCCTCCTGGTAATTTCAACAAGGATGCACTCTAATAACCCTCTTAATTAACCCAAATTCCACCTTTCTACGACAGTGAGGAGAAAATGTAAACAATTGCCGTCTCAATGTCTAAAAGTAGTCAAAAATCATAAACTCCTAATTGAAGAACAAACATTCTTGTCGTAAGGATAAAAACAGACTAAATTAAAAATATTTATTACGGATTCTTAATATTAATTATTTTATTATTAATATTCTTTATGTTTAAAACATTTATTTCGGATATGAAAAAAATTGATTTATTAGGCACTGTCATTATGTTTTTGGTAGATAACTATGGTCACACAGTTTTACAGCTGGACACTATAAAATATATAAAGTATGGACAACAGTGTGCCAACCACCTAATTATTTATCTAATATTTTATTTTTTCTTCTGATTTTGTTACTCAAATGTGTTGTAATGCTGAAAATAACTAATTTGTCGCTGGTCGTTTAAATGATAGGCTAAATCAAATTGTGAAAAATTGATTAGATTAGATTAGTTTTTGGAAACTTTTCTTGAGATCTAGGCTCTAGAGAGTAAAAAGGTTTATAGAATAACTACCTGATATTTATAGAAAACACATATATTGAAGTCTTTATACTTACTGCCATAATAGTATTGGTCAACAGTTTTTAGCCAACCAACATCATCATGAGAGTGAGCAACAATATGAACATTTACAAAGCCATCCTTAACAGGATTGCAAGACTAAAAAGTAAAGGATTTATACATTTTATATTAGCAGTTTCATACTGCAACTTATACCTAATAGTGTATGGTGTGTTTTTAAAGCAACGAAAGAAGTAAGATAAAGGTAACAGTTTTAGACTCACTTTATAACCGCATGAAGATCCTTCATCATAACTTATTGCTGCCGAAGACGCTAGTGAAAATTTCCAAACAAGTATCACTAACAACCACTTTTGGGTAAGGTTCATACGTTTCATACTAAAATAATAATCGTAAAAGTTTATTTATTGACTTGTACTTCAGTTATATTCTATGTATCTATATAATATAAATTCCACATAAAATGCATAAAAAACTAAAACTCCTTCCGCCCTCAGTTAAAAATTAAATTTATCTGAAAAACTTTTAGATGCCTCATTCCCTACTAGGTATGTAATGCTGGTGGACAGACAGTCTTTCCAGACTACACCAGCGTTCTTTTAGGAATCGTAAGGATGTATGGGTTGTGATTGGGAAATAAATATGAGACGGACGGTAAGAAGAGCAAAGAGAGGTGAAATATTACTTGTTGAATATTACTGCCCCATCATTTGTCTAAATGATCCAAGAAAGCCTCAGATTTGGGCAAGTGAACCCTGAATCGAACGTGTGTTCTCCTGAATGCAGTTATGAAGTGACTTAAGGAGAGATCTTTCCTATGTAATAAGCTTTTGAATTTAAATTAATTTAACATTTAATAAGGCCTGGATGCACATGGGCATAGATTGCTTAATTACCTACGTATTTATTATAACGGGTTGTTTGGAAAATCATTTCGTTTTTTCCCGACAGAGGATTTAATTGTATTCTTTTGCACCCAACTTCACATTTAAGCCGTATAATTTTTATATGCTTTGAGAGCTCATATAGCAAGGCTTGTGTGTGAAAAATTCCAATTAATTCTACGCAGTAGTTTTTGGTTGGTGCCCT